CCTTTGACCATAACTAGCTTCAGGAACGAAAACTAGTAAATCGAAGATGAGTTTTGGCTGAGAGGGAGTGTGGAAATGTGAGGAAGGGAAGAATGAAGACTGATCAATAAAGAGTGTGGTAGAGAGAGACCAAGTGTTTAAAAGGGTGTAGGAGCATGAACTGTAGTCCTCCCTTCGTGGTGCTCAACCCAACACGACACAATTGGCGATCAGGCAAACAGGATGGCGTCTGTGGAAGCTGGACAAGGACAAGGACAAACACAAGGAGTCAAGATGGAAGCAGGGACCAGTATCACAAAAGGAGCCACGACTGGTGATCCCGGAATTGATGTGTATCGAGGTCGAGTCCCGTGGCCCTATGTCACGGGCAGGTAAACGCTGACCTGGTGGGAGCTGNTCGCGAACTTCCTCGTGTTCAGGAGGGCAATGGAGAAAAGATCAGCGGCTGATATTCCTGCAGGAAGTGGGTGACCCGAGTTTCGAGTTACTGGAATCATTCCTGCAAGGACGCGCATTGAAAGAAGTGGTGCTGAAGCATCTTCGGATAGCAGTGGCGCAGCATTACAAGCCAGGTGGCATTGGCAGAACGTTTCAGGCCGATGTCGAAGACACAGAAGCAATTATAGGCGCCGCATGTATACTACGCCGAACTGCAAAAAGCAGCGAATACGTGCTGCTTTGAGGAAATCAAGGATCATCGGGATGCAGCAGTAACGATGGTCTTTATCGGTGGGTTGATCTCTGTAGACGAGGAAGCGTCTTCTAACCTTCTAAAGAAGGATCAGCTATTGTCGAGAGAGGCTTTGGAGCAGGCGGAAGCCGCGCGTAGGAGTGGATGCTCCACACCTGAAGGAAGGCACGCCGCAAGCCCAGCTGGCAGGACTGTCAGATAAGAACCCGAAAAGAAGAACGTAACCGGGAAGTGCCATGGCGCACGCAAACGAGGGAACAAAAGGGAAGGCCGAGCGAGGGCCCAGCTAGGAGAAGTCTAAGATGCATGGTATGTTAAGAGCTTGGCCATCCTGGTTATGAGAGCTTTAAGAAAGAGAAGGGATACTGCAATATATGCAGGAAGAGAGGCCACCTGGCAGTGACGTGTTGGAAGGACGTCAGAGTCATTTAGAAAGTTTCTTACCTTATTAATACTCAGCGGTCCCCATGAGTTGTAGAAGGGACCCTCTCACTCCCCCGATCTCGACGTCCAGAGCATAGTGGCAGCTCCGTTGTTGCCGTAGTTCGCGTGCCCGCCCACCGATCGGTGTCACGTTAGACGAGTGTCGAGACAATACAGATTGCCATTATTCGTTCTAAGACCCACGCACAATCAGCTAATCGCCGAGTGATGAGGCGATGTTTTTCTCCCATTCTTTTTTCCTCTGTTTTTCTTTTTGCTGCCGCGATCCCTTATTCAATTTTCTACTCTTAGAGGCTGAAAAAGGTAAGCTACTTTTGCTGTTATTAAGGTTTTTTTTGTTTATTTATGCTTATAAGTGAATGAATTTTGCTTACCATTGCCTGTTCTTCGCACCAGGACCCACACGCGCGCAGTGAAATACACTATTTAGCTCGTCCGGACGCCCCACCCTTCTTCATTTTTCTGGTTTAATTCAGGTCCAGCCCCCTTTTTAACGTTTTTTCGGAGCCCTTTTTCACTTTGGAAACACCGATGCACGCAGTTTCTTCACCTCAGTCGCACTAGTTTCGATCTTGTCTTGCATTTTCCATCATAATCTGGATTACCCGAAATTATGTGAACGGTGCCTTTAACGGGAAGAAGACCCCATTCGAACTAGATATTTGCTCATTTCTTTCCATTATCGATGAGAAGGCATGGAACGGCTGGTTAGGTCGGCAACAGCTGGACAAGGCTGCGGTGGCTGCGACGGCATTTGATAATAATCATATTAAGCTAAAGGAAGACTCCCAATTAATGCTAAGTTCGCTGAAAAAGAGGCGATAGTGTATGCTCATGACGTTAAAGAAGTGACGCACTGCTTATGTAGACGAGGCATGGTAAGAGAATTGCAGACAGATTGTGGAACACATGGTACACAAGTTTAAGCAAATGCCCTATGCAGAAATCAAAAGAAACTTTGTGCGAGACTAGACAACAACAAGAAATTGTACCAAGATAGTTTAGGGTAGTGCATGACTGCACGAGCAGAGTTGAAGTTCAAAAATGATGTAGAAGTGCCTAAGTCATTCAGAGCTAGGCCAACACCTATTGCGTTGAGGCCTGGAAGAAATGGGCGGAATGGTATATAAGGAGGGCGGAGCATAGTAAATGGGCCACACCGCTGGCGGTTGTGCCTGAACCAGGCGAGGAAATGAGGAACTGTGGTGACTATAGGGTCACAGTGAACCCGCAATTAGATAATGGTCAGTACCCATTGCATGAGCTAGACGATTTGCTTCACATGTTACATGACAGAAAGAACTCGAAAATTAAGATGCTTGTATGCAAGTTGAGCTGGAAGAGAGCTCAAGGAAGTATACTACGATCAATACGCATAAGGGATTATTTGAGCACACGCGAACCCCAGATAGAATCGCATTAGTGCCAGCAATGTTCCAGCGAATAATGGAGGGGAGGCTGGTGGGAATCGGAGGGGTAATGATTTATCTGGGCGATAATAGAAAGAGGTACAGATGGCAACGCATCTAGAAAGAAAAGAAGTCTTGAATAGACTGAATGAGATCGGCTTCCGTTTCAAGAGAGAAAACTGTGAATTCCTAAAGGAGAAGGTATAGTGTTTGGGCCACCTGGTCGATGAAAAAGGCATAAGACCATCTCCCGGTAAATTGAAAGCAATACTAAACGAACCTGCCAGAGCCCAAGAATTTAAAAGGGTGGGAGTCTTAATTAGGCATGATACAATACTATCGGGAATTCACCCCTCGATTAGCTACGCTGCCGGCGCCGTTAAACAACTTGCGCAGTAAAGGCGCACCGTGGAAATGGGGTGCCGAAGAGAAAATTTTTTGCGTAGATACGTGAAAAGCTCACAACAACAGAGACCATAGCGCATTATAACCCGGATGTTCCGGTAGTATTAGCTACCGATGCCTCTGAGCATGGCATAGGAGCAGAATTATAACATATATATGATGATGCAACCAAGAAAATTATCGCTTATGCATCACGTTCCTTGACAAAACAGGCATGTAGTTGTAGTCCAAATAAAGAAAGAGGCGTTAGAAATAGTAAATGGGATCGAAAAATCAAATTAGTTCTTTTATGGTCGACGGTTTACGCTGTTAACCGCTTACCAATCCTTAGTGAGGATTTCTGGGCCCAAGCACGGTCCACAATAATAGCAGCAAAAAGACTGTATAGATGGGCATTGCGGCTCATGTTATACTCTTTCGAGATAGAGTGTAGAAAGACCACTGAGTTTACTAACGTGGACGGGTTATCCAGATTGCCTGACCCAAGAGAACTGCCTAGCGCAGAACTGGCGGTAAATGAAGGGCAGGAAGAGATTATTGCGGTGAAAAGGATGGAGAACCTGCTTGTAACAGAACCTGAAATAGCCAAGGCTACAAAAGAAGGTCCCCTGTTGCATTTGGTGATAGATTATATACGGAAGCGTTGGCTGGGAAAAATCACGGATGACAGATTAAAGCCGTATGCGGTGAAAAAGACCGAGCTGACAGCGCATAAAAGTTGCATACTGTGTCTGCTGGATCTGTGTTAGTTAAAGCGCAAACTTATGGCGAAGTAGCCTCGCACTAGTAGTGAACTACCTACCAAGTTGGTCACAATCGGTTTCCTCCCTAGGCCTCGCCAACAGTTCTCAGCACAACCATTAGTTCAAGAGTGACGAGATGGCTTTTTTTTTTTACTAAAAAGCGCGGGAATGGGTTAATTTCTTGAGGGACTTGACTGAACAACATCAACAAACTTGGTCCAGTCCTTAAAGTCTTTTCACGAAGTTTACTCCGTACTTTGCATAGATAAAGCCTACCAAGGAAGGATCCCAAGTCGAAGCGGCCATTCATAATGAAACTTCCACCGCGAGTCATTTAGGACGCTGATCTCAAATCTGCTTTCCAAATTTGCCGAAGGAGTCTCTGAATGTAGTTATGAGGTGAATTTAGGTGAGACTTAACATAAGAGAACTTAAAGATACATGGAGGTCCAAGGTTTTCCAGCGGTGGCTTGAGGCAGTGCTAAGGTTGACACTTCATGTGCGAAAAACTAGAGATCGGATTTTGTGGGGATGGGGGGGGGGCGAGAACCTTGAGTCATATTGAATTTCTTTCCTGTAGTCCTACGACCTTGTGACGGTTGCGGTAACTCTCTTATCCAAAACATGCGAAATCGCCTCATTCTTAATGGGACGAATGCGGTGTGAGGTGGTAGCGGGGCACTACACACGGAAGGTCCGAGATCGGACTCCGCATCGATTATCGTTCAGCCTGACTCAGCTTTCCATTCCTCCTCGGTCGGTTGGTCGGTTAATTAGTATCGGACTCGTCTAGATGGTCGGAAGCACTGACGGGTACATTGCATTGTCACAGTGAATCATTGTATAAGCCACAGAGGCATGCATTTTAAACGCCACTATGAATGAAAATCGATTACTGGATTACTCGATTACTCATCCCAAAGGCTGAATCGATCAACGCCAAGGTTTTTATCCTTCAATCAGGATGGCGGAACTTTTCCCCGAATTCCCACGGCTAGCGGCAGTGGTTCCGCGGCGATTGCGGTATCCTTCCACAGGGAATTCATGTGTTTCCCTTCATTGCGCGCGATCGGATAGCATGACCATTATGCCTTGCGTAATGATCCAAAGACCAGGAGTCCTTCGTGGTTTTGGAGTGGGTACGATCGTGCGTGGTGGCTACGAACTATCCAAGACCAACCTTTTTGATAGTGGGCTCGCAGACACCATCCAAAGATCATCAAGCTCAAAATAGTCCATGATCGACCTTCTTCCAATCTTGGCATGATATGTAGTAAAGATGATTGTCTTTAAAGATTGAACAATTTATTAGGCCATCGTTTCGGCTGCTTCGCCTTCGTCAGGGCCTGAAATAATGCAAAGCATTGTGCAATAATACAAAGCACAGCACAGGAGGACGACCACCCTCGTAATGAGTGTTGTTTAAAATAACCAGTAACACCCCACTGACCTCATCGTAGATCAAAGGTTACACAGGTCAAGGAAGGGTGCGAGTTAACGGGTTTTGGCTACACACTCCTCCTTCCTGTTCATAAGGGGTTCTTTAGCGGTAACCCAAAACGCTTCCAGGGTCTTGCGTGCCGCGCTCTCGGTTTCAAGCGTCAAAATGGACGCGGAAGGCGGGTAATTGCATGAAGGTGGAAGTGGTCCACTCCATACGTTGCCAAAGCTGGTATATCGAAGAAACAGGTCGCCCATCGTGCGTTCGAGGTAAAGAACATCTAAGTGGGCTGGCTGGATCAAGGATGCATACCCCGCTAGGAGCCCATCGGGTTTTATTCCACGCACGTTTATCCTTTGACGTTTCCGTGTCCATAAGGCGCTTGAAACCGAGATCGCGATGCGCAAGACCCTGGAAGCGATTTGGATTACCGCTAAAGAACCCCTTATGAACAGGAAGGAGTGTATAGCCATAACCGGTGAACTCGCACCCTTCCTTGACCTGTGTAACCTTTGATCTATGATGAGGTCAGTGGAAGGTTACTGGTTATTTTAAACAACACTTATTACGAGGGTGGTCGTCCTCCTTTCTTAGTGGCGGACTCCAAGGTGAGCAATCCATGCCTCATTCGATCAATACCTTTGGGGGTTTGCTGGTCTACTTGAAGTTTTGTTGGAGTGTTGTTGAGGCTTTTGGGCGAGCATGCCACACAATGCTTTGCACTATTTCAGGCCCTACGAAGGCGAAACAGCCGAAACGTTGGCCTAATGAACTGTTTAATCTTGAGAGGCTTAAAGAAGATCATCTTTACTACAGATCATGAAGCTGCCTTAACCGCCCCAACTCCACGTAAGCAGGTGAAGCAATAGCTCTTGTTGCCCTTCAAAAATACGATCATCACTCATACGTAAAAGCTCCCGATCTCAATCTATGCTTATACACTCGTGACTTGTCTTACCACCTATCACCTGCACTACTTTTAGTTCTGTGCTATTGGGTTAAGAGACTTCCACTTACTCATGACAGGTTCGCTTAAGCTTAAGCACTCCCCAAGGTCATTTTGGGATGCCCACACAGTTCTCTTTACCATTTCTGATTTGGCTACTGGTCTTAAAGTAACACGATGTAATGAAATTCTTTTTATTAGTTTTCGCAATCGTGAGAATCTTTTTTCTTCCCTAACTTCTCGTGCACCACACATGTTCGTGAAGTGGTAAAAGTCATAACTAAATGGTGTGTATAAATATGCTAAAAAAACTGAAGTGATACCGCATGATTTGGGTAAGACAGTCGTCACCACAACCATCATAAGGTCATAGAACGCGAGCGATACAACATCGAAAGTGTTTATAGGTCACAAGGAAAAGTCAAATTAGTGCAAATTTTTTGCTCCTCACAAAACCCTAATCTTAACCCTAGTCCTTCGCATATGAAACGTCACCGTTACCGCTGCTCCAAGCCAACGCTGCGAAACCTTGTACACATATGTAATTTAAGTTCTCTTATGTTAAGTTTCACATGAAATCACCTCTTATCTCCATTCAGAGAATCTTCAACAAATTTAGAAAGCCGATTCGAGACCATCACCCGAAACCACATCCAGCAGTGTGCGTCTCATTCCAAACGGCCACTTCGACTTGGGAACCTTCTCTGCTAAGAGTTTGAGGCACGCTTCTCAGCGCTTTATACGATTTATCCAGACCGATAGATTTGCTGTAATTTTGGAGTTTCGTGCAGTTTCAGTTCCAAAACTGAGACCATTTCAGCGTACTATGTAAAGACTTTCATTGATGCAGACTTCGAGATTCGAAGATTCCTTTCCTGATAGTTACTTACAATTTTGGCTTGCTTTTTTAGTGACGAATAGTGCGGTATTTATAATGTAGTTTGTAGTGACGTTCCTTTAGCTTTCCAAAACAGTGAAGTTCTTTTGATTGCTATTAATTTGTGCGCAGTCGGTATTCAGCTTTGGTCTCTTCTGACGAGAGAGAGGCAATGGCCCCCTGGCATAACATAATTAGATTCTCCTCAATCCATATCCGCACTGTTTACTAGTCAGGATATATCAAAAATATAAAGAGCGCGTGAGATTTCTAGAAATGCCCTATCATTTTGCATTGCCCTCATACCCAACGTTTTCTCCGCTAAGACGTATAACTTATGAATATACATATTTAGGCTTTTTTGCAGAAAAAGTTTCAAAGGTATCAGTTCTGAGTAAAGACTTTTTAAGATTACAGTACTCACAATTCCGAGTTATTATCATAAAATTAAGAGGACTTTGTGACTCGTTTTCAGAGTGAGGTTCTGAAAACTGGTAAAGATGCGATTATGGTACCAATTAGGAGACAGGAGGATGTGAATGGAGAAGACTTTTCTGAGCTCAGTGAATGGACTGCGGGTGGGCGTAGCTAAGCAACAATAGAGATCGCGAAGAGGAGATATACTCTATCAGAAGGGTTTTAGAACAATGGTTTATAATATAAACACGTTATTGAGATATGCACACAAAAGAGGTGCAGAACGAAATAGTTGTCTCCCGATATAGTGAATTACTGTTTTCGGCTCATAGGTCCACAGTGGCTTCCGACAGAGACGAATGGGACGTTACTGGCGCCTGCTCGAGGAAATCGATGAACAACAGGACGACAGGTGATACAAGTGAGGTGACAGTGAATTATTTGAATTGAAACGAAGTGAATTATCTAAACTGAACGTACTTCAGCTGCTTAAAGTTGAAACCGTGAAAGTCCTCAATATCATGGTTCTCCCCCATTTCTCCTCTGCTAATATCGACGACTTTGTACTCCGTGTTCTTGATAGCCAGTTCCACTCCATACCCCGACAGTGACACTTTGGCTATAGGAGTGTCAGTGCACTTCAAAAACTATGAATAAGATACAAGAATAGGATACATCAGGCAACTCACCTTCATGTAGTGTCTCAGAACGTATTGAATTCTCCGCGCTGAAGCTAATTCAACAGCTTTCGCATGAAGCTGCAACCATTCCTGCGTGCCAATTTCCCCATAGATTATTGCCGTAGTTTCTGCTTGTCTTCCGAGATTGAACACGTGGTCAATTGAAAGCAAGGCTGGAGAATCCCTACAAATGTTTTGAAGCATGCTCTTTTTTTCGTGCAGGTGATAGTGCGCTCCGATAATAGTACAGGTTTGTTAGTCCAATTGTACAAATCTGAAGATAAATAGATTCACCGACATCCAATATCTAGATCCTTCTCGCACGCGCACCAAGTATGTCATGAATTATCATCTGACTCACTTTACAAACAATAGCTAGCTTCATCGGTACTTCGAGTAAACTAACACCTCGAATCAACTACGATGCGAGGAGACGCCACCATGTTACCACCATAGTAAAAGAAACAGATAAATGATATTAATCCTCTTTGCAATGATACGACACCTTCCGTGAGACGATTCCACAGCATTCTCGAGTTCACTGGCGTCACATCCTTTTAGACCGTGGACGTCGAAAAATGCAACACATGGCAATGCGTGATCGGCACCGATCTGAATATGCAGAAATTGTGATGCTGAACTGAATGGTATTGAAATAATGAGTGCGTTATATGGCACAGACCTGCTGAAATAACTGCACTGAAGGAGAGTAGATTCGCAGTGACAGAGAAAGCTTTAATAGATCTATGAGAGGCGCCGACAACATCTTCGAAGCCTGCTGCAGCCCAAAATCGTACTTCATTTTGTCACTCACTGAACACGTTTAGGAGGAACTTCAAGAACATCTCTATGAAAATTCTTGAGTAGAGAAAATGACAGTGAGCATCAAATGCAGTGGGGCATGAAAAGAGGAGTATGGAGTACACGCACTTCCGGTGCAGCATACATGTATTGGGTTGTAACATAAGTTTGTAGAGTTTTTTCACGAAGATTTATCTGAACCAAAAAACAATAATTATAATAATAAATTAACCATTGATGTATCCTCCGTTACTGCTCACGACCTCTTCCCATCTCTCGACCAATTTTTTGATGGCGATTCGCCGAAAATCGGCCGTTGTGGTGTCGAAGAATTTGTTGAGCCAGTTTTTAAGGTCCCCTTCGCCATCGAAGGTAACACCCCTCATTGGGTTTAACATAGAGCGGAAAAGGTGATATTCGGCAGGTACAAGATCCGGAGAGTGCGGTGGATGCTGAAGAACCCCCCATTCAAGCTCTTGGAGTGCTGTTTTGACGACTTGAGCAATATGGGGCCTGGTGTTCTCGTGGAGCAAGATGACTTGACCACCTCTATGAGGTCTTTTCAGCCGAATAGCCTCATTTACACTGTTCAGCTGGGTAATGTAGACCTCCTTGTTGACAGTGGCGTTTCGTTCGAGCAGTTTCCCAGTGCACCATGCCTACCCAGTCCCACCAAACGCAGATCATGACCATTTTTTGGGTGAAGATCTTGCTTGACTCTCGGCTTTGGCGCCTTCCCTGGGGCCACCCACACCTTTCAGTGGACACACCTAAGACACCTTCCCCGTACACACTGCATATGTCCCAAGCGGTTTCGGCTGCTTTTTTGACCTCGACGAGAAGCAAAGAAAAGCAGATGTCGAAAATGCTAATTTTTTCTTCCTGGATGTTCCATTTCTGAGCCCGAAAAAAGACGAACAATTTAATTATCCTAAAAACGAATAAAACAATTTTGTAGAGGAGAAAGAGCTCTTTCAAATGAATGCATACAGTTTGCTAAAAAACAAAATAAATCTTTGTAAAATAACTCTAACGCAAAACTCTACGAACTTATGTTACAACCCAATACATGTATGTCCGTTTTTTATGGATGATATAGTGTAGCCTAGCATACGTGATTAGCGTGACGGCAAATCGACAGAGCGTGCCATTGCTGTGTAGCGTGCCTCAACTCGTAGGCTGTGGCATGTGAGCGCACGCATAGTACCAGTGGTGTTTGAGAATTTCAAGAATGGCGATATCCAATCAATATAGATTAGAAAGTATGTTTGACTGTTTACGTTGTGGGTGACAGGTGTGGCAGTGAATGATGAGGACTATAGAAGCTACTTGGTGGTCAGCATGTCCGCGTAGAGTGTAAGTTCAGGTCAGTAACGGTTGTTCGCTATTGTGAAATTTGCCCTCATACAAGGCCTTCCAAATGATACCTACCAAAAGTGTACACGGGATGGGGTCAGACAGTGACAGAAAATAGTTTCCCAACGAAACATCACGTCAACGCTTTCTCATGTTGTACGTCTAGGGCACGTGAGTTTTTGATGTGCCCTTGAAGGGACCAACCCGCTATTGAAATCTGCTTAGAAGTATCCTACTATATATAACGCGCTAAGTGTGTCTGTTGGTTTGTCTGTGTGTGTGTGTGTTTGACCGGAAATTCATAACTCGGGTTCTAGTAGACCT